AGTTGCAGACCTAGCAAACCTCGGAGGTAGCAAGAGCAATGGCGTGATACTCTGCTTCAGTGCTGGACCGAGCAACCGTCTTTTGTTTCTTTGACTTCCACGAAACTAATGTGTCACCGAGATACAGAAGGAATCCAGAAGTGGAAATGCGATCATCCGGGTCACCAGCCTAATCCGAGTCAGAAAACACACAAAGATGAAGGGGAGTGTGTTGGCGACGGATATGAAGTCCAAGGGAACTAATGCCAACAAGATAGCGTAAAATAAGCTTAACATGCTATCAATGCTGAGACGTCGGGGCATGCATGTACTGGTACAACTTGTTGACCGCAAATGAAACGTTAGGGCGAGTGGTCACGAGATACTGAACAGAACCGAGTGCCTGTCGATATAACGTGCCATCGGCAGGCGCGGTACCATCATGGAGAAGCAAGCGAGATGTGGAGGCAAGGGGGTGGCAGCCGGTTTTGCATCTTGCATCTGGAATCGAGCAAGAATGTATTGGATGTACTTATGCTGAGACAAGGTGAAGCCATCAGAAGTGGGAATTGCCCCGATGCCGAGGAAGTAAGCAAGGACACCATCCTTGTATTGGAAGTATGCTGAGACAAAGAGAAAACCGAGCCGCCAACTGATCTTGAAAGGCACGAAGGAAACCCTCGGTATTGCCGATGAGCAAGAGATCATCCACATACATGAGGAAGTAAGCAAGGACACCATCCTTGTTGTAGACGAACAACGAGGCATTGGAGTGGGTTTTAACAAACCCGCTGGTCACAAGAAATAAGCTCAACACATAATACCACGTGCGCGGGGCCTAGGGCAGGCCGTAGATAGCTTGGTGCAGGCGACACACATGGTTGGGAAACTGGGAATCACGAAACCCTGGGGGCTGCTCCATGTACACTTCTTCCTGAAGGGGCCTTGGAGAAAGGCATTGTGGACATCAAACTGATGGATCGGCCAGTCATGAGAGAGGGCCAGTGTGAAAACCGTCTGGACATTAACTGGTTTGAGAACTGGGCTGAAAATCTCGTGAAAGTCTACGTCGGGCCGCTAATGGAACCCTTTGGATACCAGCCCCGTTTTGAAGCGCTCAATACTATCGTCGGGTCGATATTTGATGTGGTACAACCACTTGTTCCCAATAACATTGTAGTGAGGAAGTCAAGGCACGAGATTCCATGTGCGGTTGGCACAGACCGCGTCAAAATCAGCCTGGAGTGCACCATTCCATTCTGCATAACGAAGGGCTTCCTTGACCTGCTAAGGTTCAAGAGGAGGAGTCACCTGCGATGTAGTCAAAGTCTGTGCATACTTGCGGTTAGGTTTAAAAATATTATGATTAGCTCGAGTCACCATAGGATGGGAGGGAGCTGGCGGAGATGGACGTGCCGAAGGGGTCGAACCGGCTGTCTGTCTCGGTGAGGCATCCACTTGAGGAGGACCTGACGTGGACGTCACTGGCTGGCGGGGAGGAGCAGGGGACAAGCTTGGTGTGGATGCAGGCAATATGGTGGTGACCGGGGGGAGGCTCGCCGCAAGCCAGGATGTAGAGGACGAAGGTGCGGGAGATGGTGGGGAGGAGGCTACCTCGAGAAACTCACTCTCAACGAAAACGACATGACAAGACAGAAACAGACGGTTAGTGACCGGATCAAGACATTTATAAGCACTTTGTTGATGGGAATAACCAAGAAAGATACATGGACGAGACCTAGGGTTCAGTTTGTGGGAGCTATAAGGGTGAAGCCAGGGGTAACATAAGCAACCAAAGACGCGGAGTTTAGAGTAATTGGGGGATTCATTGAACAAAATGGTGAACAGAATACTACCCTTAAGTAAGGATGAGGGAAGGCGATAAATAAGATAAACCGCACTAACAAAGGCATAGAACCAATAAGATAGTGGAAGAGAAGCTTGATGAAGTAGGGTGAGACCAGTTTCAACTACGTGCCTGTGTTTACGTTCGGTTAGCCCATTGTGTTATGGAGTATACGGAGGAGTAAGAAGGTGGGTGATGCCATGGGTACTAAGCTTGGTACGAAGTTTGACAAACTCGCCACCGCCATCGGTATAGAGACGGCGGAGGTTGGTGGAGAAGAAGTTTTCGACAAGACGTTTGAAGGCTATAAAAACGGAGAGGACATCAGACTTTAAGTGAAGGGGATAGATCCACGTATACCGGGTAAAGTGATCGACAAGAATCAAGTAATATGAATAGCCATCAACAGAAGTTACAGGAGCTGGACCCCATACATCAGAATAGACTAAATCAAACGGTCGAGAACTAGTTAAACTAGAATCACCAAAAGGGAGTATATGACTCTTGTTTGACAAGCATGAGGGACAGAAGGAAAAAACAGACGACTTAGACACTAGTAAAGACTGGGTAGTTAACAGGCGAGATAGGGATTTGGACGATTGATAGCCAAGATAGCAATGCTAGGAGGTTGTAGAGTCACGAGTGGTCACCAACGCGAGATGAATTGTCGACGAACCACCAAGGAGCTCATAGGTGTCACCCTTGTTCCTTCCTTTCAGCAGTGGCTCCCCCGTGCGAAGGTCCTTCATAAGAAACGAATGAGCAAAGAATTCGACAGAAACAGGGTTAGTGCGGCATAACTTGGCAACAGAGATCAAGCGTTGTTTGATGGAAAGAACATAAAGCATATCACGCAAGATAAGAGACTGGTGAGGCGACTTAAGGGATGAAGAACCAATATGAGTGATTTTCAAACCTGAACCATCTCCTAAGTAAACTTCATCCGGACCGGTGTAATCCGAATAGAGAGCAAGGTTTCAAAGGTCATTGGTGACATGATGTGCAGCTGCCTAATCCATGAGCCACGAACCACAATTACGTGAAGAGGAGGAAGCTCGGCGGTTTACGTGATGAGCTTGAGCCTGAGGACGATTCTCGGGTTGGAGTTGGAAGCATTGCTTCGTAGTGTGACTAGGCTTGTCGCAGTACTGGCAGTAAATGCGAGCGCGATGAGGTTCACCATCACCAAAGGAGCCGGTCATATCCCTGGCGGAGTTGTTATCGGACGAACGAGGACCACGACCCCCACCAGCCTGGAGTCCCACCATGGCGACCGCGAGCACCCCGACCACGTTGAGTGTTGTAAGCAGTCGCGGGGGAGGAGGACGAGTGGCGAGCCTTGAGGTCGGCCTCAAGGGAGACAATGCGATCGACAAGATCTTCAAGGCTGGGTGGAGTTTCACGTGCGCGAATACCGGAAAAAAACTCATCATCGTGAATGGTCGTCCCAGCGAGAGCCATCTCATTGGCGATGGAGTGGAGGGACTAGACATAGGTGGCGACATCACAATCACCACGTTTCTCAGCAAGGAGACAGTCCCGAAGGGTGATGACACGCGAGCGGGAGGCATTGGCGTACCTTTGAACCAACGTGGACCACGTCGTTGCGGAGGAGGTGACAGCACTAATGAAGGGTCATACCGTTTCAGAGATGAAAGCAAAGAGGCTTTTGAGGAGGAGTTTATCCTGCCGAAACTAGTGAGTGTAGGCTGGACTCGTGCATCAACGCCATTGATAAGGACACGTTCAGGAGGAGCTTCAGTAGTGCCGTCGAGATAACCGACTAAATCAAGCCCTTGGAGCAAGGACAGAAGTTCGGCATGCCAGGACGAAAAGTTAGTCGGAGTAAGCTTCAGAGGGAGGCTGGCAGCAGGGTTGATGGTGACGAGAGCGGGCAGGCCAGCAGCGCCGGAGGGGGCTTCAGTGTTGCCGGACATGGCGGAGTCTTCGCCGGCCATCTTGAGGAGGGAGCTGCAGCGACGGAGATCAGGCGTTGAATGTGGACCGCACCGAAATGTCCGAGGAACGAATTCTAGGGCAGAATTGCATGCTCTGATACCATATAAGGATTATGAATGTTGTTGTATATTATTCACCACTGGTGGGGGTATTTATAACCAAAGACTATACACAATACATGTAGGAAAGAGCTACGTACAAGGAATTAAACTTATCCTTAATACCTTTCACGGTGGAGTCAATGACGACGATGTTGGGAGTGTGTCTAGTAATTGGTAGCGGCAGGAATAATTAAAAGAAGGGAGCCTCTTTCATTTGGAAGAGAGACCTGAACATAATTCTCTTTTGGGCAGAATTGGATTGAGAGAGCAGCAACTGCCGGATAACGAGAGCGGAGCGGCGGTCGTAGTAGGATTGAGAGGGAAGGGGAGGGGGAGCAGAGAGTTTCAGTCGGGAAGGGATGGGGGAGTAGGGTAGCTACTAATATACTCGTATAATAAATGTTAGTAGGGTGACCCTAAGTTCATTGATCACCCAGTGAGTTTTATCCTAAGTTCAATTCTGACTGAAAAACCATGAATCTCTCTCATACTTTCTCGATATGGGATTCGTCTAACGTGTCACAGACTTATAACATCCATATTATTAAGAATATATACAAAGCGACATCGTTTAACATTTTTTAATCCAAACATAGTAAGATTTTGACAAAGTCAAACCCATCAATTTGAAAAAACATATAATATTCACGCATTATTTACTCACTTTAACCGGATGAGCCTAAGTTCAATTATCACACATTGAGTTTTACCCGTTTTAACCAGATGAGACTAAGTTCAATTATCACCCGTACAAGCAAACCCCTGGCCCTCACCACATGGTTAAAGGTTGTCATGTCTTGGCCTGTTTAGTTCTAGCTGCAGGGCCAACGTTCTATCTCGTAGCCCAATTCGGAACAAGCCCTTTCGGACTAGATTGTCCAGCAAAGCCTAAACTCGGGAACCCAACTATCTTGCATAGTCATAACTCATAATCAACCCACCTACCTCGTACATCCTTACTATGGTAGATATTGATTCGAAGACTGCAATTCACGGTATCCCAGTTCATCGTATCCCTGTAGTTGTAGTATTTTGGATTCCACACTTGCTGCTGCAATGTTTTCTCTCCACTTGTATTCCGGTTTCCCTCAAATCAAAAAGATATAGTGAGTTGCATAATAAACTACACAACATAGAAAAACAGAGAAGAAATAACACAACTATGAATTCACATCTTGACGGGCAAAACAGAAAACGAACTTGTCAATTGTCATGGTAATAATAAGACTTTTTTCACTGAAACAAAGCCCAGCTGAGGGTGGAAAAAACTGCAAACACAACGGATTGACCAGACATTCAAGCGCTAGTTAACATGTTTAAAATGCAGAATTGTGTTCGCAAATAAGGAACAAGAACAATCTGTTTTCAACAGCATTTTTATTGCACAAAGAGGGGAACTGTCCAAAGTCTCAGTTCAGCTACTCAGTTTGATACCACCATTGAAGGACTCCACGCTTCTTTGGCTCTTCAGATCCATGCCTGCAAAACCAGCAAAGTTGGGAGGTGTTTATTTCTTAGATATTTGGAGACATCAATATTCCACATACGAGAGACCGCTCAGATTACTAAGATGTTCAATATTGGACATCGAACTAACAACATTACGAGCGATACATTAGACATGCCAAGATTTGCCTTGTTTTCTATTTGACCAACATTTATACCATGTGACGAAACTAGTTTGTTTGTTTTTTAATGTTAGGTGCTACTGAAGGGTTTTGGACCTGAGACCTTCAGATCAAAGAACAACGGTTTACCCGCTAGACCAAGCTCTTCTTGGCAAGAGGTAAACAAACTACAGCTAATCGTGGTGACTTTGTAGAACTCCCCAACATTGCAACACATAGGTAAACATCTAAACACCAATCAAATTATATCATCATCTAAAGACGATCTCACACATTATTCAAGTGCAGCATCTCCCTTCATTAATAGTACTCCTACTTAAATACTTTCTTAATAGCCATTCAAGTTAGGATCAAACAAAAACATAAGATACCTTAGGTATTGATTGAGCACATCTAAATAGAAACAGAACTGAAGAATGTACCTAGTGTCCATGGCCATGATCATCACCATGGCCATCCCATGGATGTCTCCAGCCCTAGAAAAAAAGACCACGAAACACAATCACATCAAGGAGCCGAGCTCCAAAATCTCAATAGCAATGCTAAACTTAGCTCTTACCAACACAACAGGACCATCCTGCTTAGCCCTGTACAGAACCCAAAACCTGAAACAACAAAAATCCATCAAAAGAATCAGATAGCCACATTTACCAGATCCATTACACGCTTCAAAATGCTATGGATCACCAATTCTTATAGCTTATGTCAGCGTGCAATCAATTTGCCAAGCTCTTTACAAGAGTTCATTCCAGTCCCCATACAGATTGAATTCGGGACAGCTATTCGGAAACTTAGTAAAAGCCACACAGTCATCAAAGTTATTCGCTCTGCCTACTTATCTCAATTCATCTAAAGCGACTCATGAACAGCAGAGATACATCTTCGACTCCATTTCCATTTTCCAGTAACATACCATCCATTTCCAGCAACATACAGCAATCAGACATCCATCTTATCGACCATCAATAAATTCAATCAAGAACTAGCCTTGATGGCAAAAATCCCATCCCAATTTAACAAACCCTAAAAATTCGATCGAGTACCCAATTCGAGTCCGGGACGGATAGATAGATATACAGCATTCATTTCAGCTCCATTCACATCAATCAACACCGAAATAAACGGCCAATTCAAGAAACGGAGAAAACTAAGGGGGAATAGCAAGCACGGCGACCTCCCGAGAGGCGGAACAATTTTTACAGGAAGAGCAGAGAAGGAGAAGGAGAAAACGCACCACATGACTGCGCAGAGGCCCTTCCCGGTGACCGTATGCCACCGCTTCGGCTGGTGCATCGTCACGCCCTTGTAAGTGACGCCATCGCCATGCCCTCCGCCCATTGCTCGATCTAGTAAAACCAAAACACACTGTAAATTGGTAGAGAACGAAATTGGTCTTGAGATTTGATTTCTAAATCCTAATGGAGTTTCTCTCTTTGACGAACCTCTGTGACTTTTCTCTTTCGTTGTCAGCCTACGGTGCAGTTGATTCGCTCCTCGGTATATCGGGCCTGACATGGCAATCAACTCCTTGCCCAAAATAAAGTTGGATTTTAGCCCAAACTAGAGACACATATTTTTGCATGGGCTTTATCGTTTAAAATCCATTTATCAGTAGCCTGTGCTTTTGGTAGTTACGTGCAGAAGTGTCAATTGGGCGGGTTTCGGTTGGATTCAATCGGGTTACGAGTTAGTAAAGTTTAAGGTTTATCAGGTTTTGGGTCATTCGGGTTCATGTTTATCTGGTTGCATGTTAGTGTTGATCGGCTTGTGAGTTCATCAGGTTGCAGGTCAAACGAGTTGCGGGTCAATCGGGTTACGAGTCGAGCAGGTTGCGAGCGGATCAAGTTGTTCGGATCAGCGCATTCTGTTACGTACTCTTTACAACTTACACTAATATCAAGCATTTTTTTTGCAATATTCTGAAAAATTATTTCTACTTCTTAGATGTACTTATAAAAGTTCTAAAAAAACTTGTCAAAGGGCTAAAACAATTTAGTATTCTTCTATATAAAAATTATTGAAATTGTATGACTTGACAGACCAACTTTAACACTCATTTTGAAATCAAAATGCAACTTGAGCACAATTTAAATGGGCCAAATCTTTACTTCAATGTTGTAAAATAACGATCATGTAATGCAAGAGTTGGAACAAATGTAGAAGTCTAGAAAACAATATGACAAATTAGGTAAACTTATGATTGTTGAAACTAGAAGTGCAAGAGTCACTATTATACAAGTTTATTAATTATTACCCATCGGTTCATTCACGATTTTTTAGCGATTAAATCGTGTGAACCACTTATAATATCGATTCATACTCCTCATTATCAATAAAAAATATCGATTGATACTCCTGTTCAGTTCTAACAACATTGGTATTAGCCCAAAGCTTTTCCATGATTTTTTGTTTGTGTTATGCTAATCATCCCATTCTACTCTTTTGCACTACTCATCTAATACAACCCTAGGGGTTGTTTTGATCATAATTAACACTGCGAAATATCAATTCCAAATAACTAATCTTCCTCGAACAAGAACACACAAAACAGAGTCGGTTTTGGTGTTTGGAATGGTAAGTTTCGTACAACCTTCACGTAGGGAAAGAGGCTCGAAAACTTTAGGTAGAGGCTTGGCTACGATCAATGGGAATAACTAATCGATCCAAGCTATCAATTGCCTAGGAATCCTATAAGCAATCCACTCAATTCGTCAAGACAACAAGCAAGATGAATCAAAGCTTGATAGACCGTCATTTACACATGTTTTTACCCTCGTACTTACACCGTTTGAGGTGTTGATTCTCGTGTTTTAGGCCGATTTCACGCTAGGTTGTGCTTGGTTGTGTTATTTCAGGTCTTAGTACGTGAATGAAGGCTTAGGAGCGAGTCTGGGGTCGATTGGACGAAGAACGGACGAAAGGGCGAGCTTTTGGAGGAGTGCACGGGCAGACCAGGAGGCTGCACGGCCGTGCACTTGAGCCATTTGGCCGTGCGCCTCACGCCGAGGCCATGCACGGGCACAATCCAGGCTTGCACGGCCGTGCGCCTGGCCGTGCAAGAAGGCTAAGCTTGTTAAGTGAAACGGTGCGTTTTGATGGTGCACGGCCAAAATGGTGATGTGCACGGCCGTGCACCTGCCCGTGCACCTCGGGGAAACCGGTTTTAATGCCTAATCCGAGCCAAAAGTGGGAAGAATCGTGTTTTCAGAGCAAAAACAGAGCCCTAGAGAGAGAAAGTGCGAAGAACTCATCCTAGAAGCCGTCTAAGAGCTGGATTTCATCGAATCGAGCCTGGAGATCGTCATAGGAGTGAAAATCATCGTCCCGGAGCAGATTATCCTCATCGTTATGAGTATGACTAATCCGATTCTTGTTTCCTCTTCTCTCTCTATGGAGTAGAACCTTTCTCTCACTTGGGTATGAAGAACCCTAGTTCCTTGTGTTAGGGATTTGATTGTAATGACTTGGGATGATATTATTGTTTGATTTTAATCGAATGACGCATGTTTCATGAATTGATTTGAGTCTGATCAGCTTGTCTCAATTTCTGCTTCAACCTGAGATAGATAGAATCTGATTAGGTTGTTAGAGCCTCTTCATTCGATAGTAGGAGATTGGCTATACGAGAGTTAGCCAGTTTACTGCTTTGTACTGGTGTTCTTGACGCCAGTAGTGGAGTTCTGTGTTCATAGCCTCAGCTTTCTATCCCGGTGAAGACTAGTCGTCTGCCGGGTAGTTAGACTGAGAGGGCTTGGTCAGCTTAAGAGATTCCAAGCTACTGTCGGATCTTCCGCAGTCTAATCAACAGTAAATCAACCCAGGGAATTGCAATTGAACCTAACTAAGGGGCTAGGGGGACTCAATCCCGAGTGACTCTTACCTGCTTTAGAAACCCGAACAATTTACTGCTTTCTTGTTGCTTTTACTTTTCACAACAATCACTCGACTTAGTTTGCTAGATAATAGAGAATCACGGAGTAAGCAGTAGATCTAGACCCCGGGTTGATAATTAAACTTGCCTATACTGCAGTCCCTTTCATTGGTTACACTTGGCCATTGTTAGGTGTTGTGTTTTAGCGTGTCAAGTTTTTGGCGCCGTTGCCGGGGAGCCCTCTAGGTTATTGGGGAAACGTGATAATTTGTTACTCTAGCTTTTATTTACTGCATTTTATCTCTTCCACCTGTGTGCCTTCACGGGTTGCTTCTACTGATTGTGTGCAGGTAGTGCATGACCCGTAGCCAGTCGGGAGATCTACTACCATTAGACCAGGAGCTTGAACGAACTTGTAGGAACTTCAAGCGGGCTCTAAAGGCGCGGCTGGCTGCGGAGGAGGAGCTACCACAGCTGCCGTTAGAAGAAGAAGAAGGCGAGATGGCTGATCCAGAGAACCGTGATATGATCCCAGAGGAGCAGACCATGGGATCCTACTGGGCCGCTAGGGCTGCGGACATGAGGTCACCTATTCAACACCCTCAGGTCCCAGCCAACAACTTTGAGGTGAGCACCTCCGTGATCACCATGCTGCGCGGTTCAGTAGTGTTCCGTGGTAAGGAGGGAGAGTGCCCTCGATCACATCTCAGGTGATTCCACGAGCTCATCGATGGAATCAAGATCAATGGGGTACCAGCAGATGCCATCCAGCTAAGGTATTTCCCATTCACTCTGGAGGGGCAGGCCAAGGAGTGGCTAGACACTCGACCTCCGGGCTCCATCACCACGTTCGCCAACCTGGCGGACAAGTTCCTCACCCGCTACCATCCTCCATCCAAGACAGCTGATCTCCAGAAGCAGATTACACACTTTTCTCAGGATGAGGATGAGACCATTAGGGATGCTTGGGAGAGGTACAACAGCCTCTTTCCTCAGGTGTCCCAATCCATGGTTTCAATGATGCGTTTAAGGTGGGCACCTTCTATCACACCCTCTTCCCGGAGGACAAGCAGCTGATCGATTCGGTTTGTGGCGGGAACATGCTGACCAAAACCCCGCCACAGCTGAATCAACTCTTTGAGGAGATGGCGGAGAATGGTTATGACTGGGGCACTGCCAGGAGATCGAGGAGAGCACCAGGCCGGGGTGTGCATGCTGTGGGCACCCAGTCATCTGATTTGGTGCAGGTAGTATCGAAGCTGGTCTCAGCTATCGATCGTTCCGGGATGATTCCAGGGACCGGACAGCAGCAGGCGATGCTCTGCCAGTGGTGCGAGAGCACCCATCATATGGTGGAAGACTGCCAGGCGATGAAGGAATCGACCACACCCCAGGAGCAGGTGAACTTCATCAACAATGTCAGGCGCAATGACCCCTACAGCAACACGTACAATGAGGGGTGGCGCCAGCATCCTAATTTCTCCTGGGCTGGGCCAAATCCCAGACCACCAGCTCCACAGGGACCACCGGGCTTCCAGAGGCCACCATATCAGCCCAGGGGCAATTCCAGCAGCAACAACAGTCTCTCTATCAGCCCATGCAGGGGCATGCTGCTCAAACACAGCCGCGCCCTTATCAGCAGCCAGGTGCAGCCCTTGCTGCCCCCGTGCAGAATGATCAGATGGCTGACCTGCGGGACTTGGTGGGTTCTCTAGCCAGTACCAGTGCTCAGAAGTTCAACACCTTTGAGCAGTTCATGGAGAAGGCCTCGGGGAAACTTCTGGCTCTTGAAGCTGGTCAGAGGAATACACAGGCTGTTTTGCAGGATATCCAGACCCAGCTGGGGAGCGTGGCCCAGGCAGTGGCTCAAAGGGCGCCTGGTACTCTACCAGCGCAGACCATCCCTCACCCGCAGACCCCGGATGAGCGGTGCAATGCCATCATGACCAGGAGTGGCAAGCTGACTGTTGATCCCCCTGCTCGGGAACCGGAGAAAGAAAGCCCTGTTGCAGCATCTCCAGCGGTGGAACAAGAAGTAGAGAAGGAGGTTGAGGTGCCTGCACCTAAACCGCAACCAGTAGTGAAGGAGTATGTCCCTAAACTCCCTTTCCCTACTCGGTTGCACAGAGACAGGCTGGAGACGGAGTTCGAGAACTTCATGGCCATGCTCAAGAAGCTGAATGTCCAAGTGCCCTTCCTGGAGGCACTATCGCAAATGCCGAAGTATGCGAAGTTTCTTAAAGAGCTTCTCTCAAAGAAGCAGAAGCTGAGTGAGCTGGCCACTGTGGAGCTCAGCGAGGAGTGCTCGGCTATTCTGCAGAACAAGCTTCCGCAGAAGAAAAAGGACCCAGGTAGTTTCACTATCCCGTGCTCTATTGATAAATTGCATGTAGAGAAGTCCTTGGCGGATTTAGGTGCTAGTATCAATGTTATTCCATATAAATTGTTCATGAAACTAGGCCTAGGTGAACCCCGTGCTACTAGGATGACCCTTCAATTAGCTGACAGATCGGTAGTGCATCCTAGGGGTATAGTGGAGGACCTTCTGGTCAAGGTTGGCAAATTCACATATCCTGTGGATTTTGTTATCATGGACATCAGTGAGGACACAGAAGTGCCTCTTATACTGGGAAGGCCTTTCCTGGCCACCGCCAAGGCTCTCATAGATGTGCATGATGGGACC